TGTTTAATGTCAATATCCTAACGAATTTTATACTATGTTTTATTGCCCGTTGTCTTAATTTGGAAGTACTAAGGATGGTTTATTGTATAGGCATAGAATATTTTCTTTGAACCATAAGACAATATTTTCATTTAGAAAATTAATTATTATCTTTGAAGCACTCTGAGAACAGTAACCGATAATCATTATTTAAAAGAAAAATAACCTAAAACTATTCTGATCGAAGGAGAATGACGATTTAAACTTAAAATACATTTAAAATAAAATATTTCGTTATGTAACTTAATTAGTAATTGCCAAACTTATGTAACTTCCCTAACAATGGATAAACCATTGTACAAGATGAAAAACAATTCTGAAGCAACGATTGTCTAACTTTTTGGTAACAAAGAAAGTAATAGTATGAAAATGTTAACGTAAATTGTTAATATTTTTATTTCCGAATGTTTAAAAAAACACCGATTGTTGTTAAATCCATTCATTCAGCTCGCTTCTCAGAATCTAAAACAAAATAATTTAGTAACACTATCTATAATGATATTTTAATAATAGTAGGTCGATCGAAGTAAACATTTTTTTTTCGTTGTATTTCAAGTAGTTAGCCCTGCTCCCCTTAATAATAGCATATGTTTTCAGCCCATGTTTATCAACTACCGGTGCATAGTAAATATTACATATTAAGTAAAAGTCCATTACTTTTCTGCAACGTGAGTCACAAAAACATATTTTAGTCTTTATACTTCACGCACATATATATAAGTACGTGTGGTGCGTATAGTTCAACCGTCTACCTAGTTTTTTTTTGCTTTTTCCTCAGACTAATATTATGGTGGTGGCGTTTTAACGGATTCACGGAATAAAATATCTAAACAATTATTTTTAATCATATCATCGCCACCGACTTCCTTTTTTATATAGTTATATACTATATATATATATAATATAGGATCTTGGTTCTTTCAGTTAATCCATTAAGAATATAATATGTGAGTGTACTTTTTATCTTTCAGTTGAATTTAAAAGGGAATGGGATTTCTTACTTATTTTTCTTTTAATCACATTTAATAATACCAAGTAATATTTTACTCAAATTATATTTAACATTCTCATTTCGCTCACGGTGAGTTTAAATTGAGGCATTCCAAGGATATATTATAATATGTGTATTATATATTATCCTTATAAATATATTTTAGTAGCATAAAATATTAACGTATAATTTAATAAATGTTAAGAAACATTAGTTATTTATTTAAAGTTAGAATAGCATTCTTTAAATGTTTAAATATTAAACTGGATTGAGTGTTTTATTTTTATTTTAAAGCTTAACATTTATAAACTAATGTTAATGTAAACATAACCATTTTGTTCGTATTTCAATGTAACACATCTCTTTCTACTTCATGCCTATAAAACAACAAAATATTACTATCATTAAAACGATCATTAATATACGATCCTTATAAGTAGGCCTGTGAATTCATAGGAAAGTGCATTTTTTTTTGGTCATCGTAAAACATAGCTTTGTGAGTACATAATTTAAATTACGTAATAACGAATCCATCTATGAAACTTTTATTTTGCATATTTTTGCATTTTTAGGTCATATTTTGCTTTTTGGTTCATTTTCTAGTATTTTTAATCAAATTCCGTCAATTTACTTGTTTGAAAACATTTTATTTTTATTGTACACGGGCTGTATATATTATGTAAAATTTATATTTTATTAAATAATATATTACACAAGTCACACGCTATATACGGGTTAGGTAAAGATAAAGATTCGATAAAATAAGGCAATTGCTAGACAACTAGATAACTTAGATAAGTTATTGTGGCATATCGTCAAATCAAATTCAATCAACATTTTTATTATTATTATTATTTTTTTTAATACTTTTTAAATACTTTTTTGTACTAATGTTTAATATCCTGTATCCAATATTAATATAAATATGAAAATTAAATTAAAAACCATTTTTAATAAATTTTATGCTATAATTTTTGGCATTTTTAATGGATTTTTTAAGATTTTTTAGTGCATTAAATTCACAGCCCTACTTAAAAGCATTTTATAGTTAATATTTATTATGTTTATTCGATAACAGTCTTAGATAAAAAATAACAAAATAAGTAAGTTTTTAATACGCTAATTTGATACACAATATACATATTACAGGATACAAATACATATACAATTATACATAATACATATTATATTATTTCGTTTTTCCCTAGCTTTGATCGGTAATTTATATTATACATAGATATGTAGAACTGTCATTTGCCTGTCAAACTAGAAATATTACGGTGGTTATATATATATTGTTCATTGTTGTACAGCGTACACGTTATAAGACGGCGAAATATTATTACATCAATATAATAGTAATGGTTTACTTTGCAAATTACATTTTTCCGTTCGCTTACAGAAAATAATACTATTGTAGGTTACACTAATGACTGCGTTGAATAATATTATTATGTATAAAATATAATACGTGATGAAATATTGATCTAAGACTTTTTGTTTGTCCTCCATTCTTCGTTTATTTTATACACTGCTGTGCTTGTGTGAGTGTTGGATAAAAACTCGCACCAAGTCAATCCTAGTAAGTTCTATGGCAGAAGAGTGCTTACGGCAGTAATGAAATCCAATTTTACCTTAAAAATTGCATCTCCGCAGGAGTTTCCTCAAGTAGAACGGAAAATCTCAAGAATTTGGAAACTTGGTATTTAAGTATAATATTAAAAAATCAAATTTTGTATAACTATGGGTTTTTAAATTGAAAAATAGAGCGCATTGGTTGGCGAAACACCCTGCAAATTGTATTTCTGAAAACTATGGCCACCCTACATATAAATAAAATATTATTTGTGAGCCAAAACGAAATTCATGAGTGAAGTAATGTACAGCAACCTATGACGTAGAGTTCGATAAAATAAGCTAACAGCCCATAATCATTAGGAATCTATTAATAACAACTTTTATTGAAATCGGTCCAGTAGTTTCTGATGCTATTAAGTTCAAAAATAGAAATTTTTTAGGTTTATAATAATAAGTAAGTACCTATAGATTATCCAAGTTAATATTATGTAAACCAAAAAAAAAAATTGTAAATTATGAAAGGTACCATATTAATATTCTAGGAAGCTTAAAAAAATAAATTGACAGAGAAGACTGTCACTTGCATTATTATACCCATTCCTTGCGTAACCAGATGCATGCGAATAAACTAAGATAAGTGTTGATGTGATGAACGTAGTAATTGAATAATTCAACTTTAATAAGTACAACTTGTGAGTTAAATCATTTAATAATTATTATTGATGTCAACAAAAATCATTATCTTACAAAACAATATCGGAGGGCGGTTAAGTTTTGAACACCTTTTAAGCATACATTATTCCCCGCTATTTTCCTATTAATTATATATTTTTGTAATGTTATTATATATCTAAAATAATTAAGCCTGTAAGTTGTAAGTATTTTCGATTACATATTTTATAATTTTGATCTAATCGAAATATACAAATTGCTGTGACACTTTACATATACGCACAGTACAGTAAGAAGTTCGATGTATAAATTGTACCTTATAGTTGAACGCCCACTATTTAAATATATATAAATATACTCTATATAACTTTCACCTAACACATAAAATGAAAAATTATTAATTGAGTTAAATTACAAGATATAATATATTTCAACTAGGTTGATGCATGTGCATAATCTATACTCTATACTACTATTTAAAATGAAGTAGCTTTCTTTTGTTGGGGATAAACTCCCAAACTATTTATTCAATCATCGTGAAGTTTTTTTAAATTAAAGAGCACATCACAGAGGAGGGTTTAGGCATAAATTTAGTCCGATAAAGTTAATAAATAATTAGTTATTATTAATTAAAATAAACGTGTAAATTGTATACGTATACATTTTTTAGTAAGAAATAGTAGCTGGCTGAAAATAAATAATAATCAAACCCGATAACCACAAGGTATCGCGTGGAATCATAAACAATTATTATAATTATTTAGTTTAGCAAAAAAAAAAACAATTAATTTTATCTGAGTATCTATTATTAGTATTTATAATCAATGGTGTTACATTAGTTATTGGTAAAAAATAACTAATAACTAATTTAATTTTCACAAATTGCTTGCTAAGATGGTTGAGTTGCACTTATAGCCGCTCACAGTCAAAATAAAAAATATTATTCATGTAGAGTAAATACTGAGCATGGGGTACGATAATAATAGTATAATATAATATAATATCCTACCTGGTAATATATTGCTCACATTAAAACAAGCGAGTCCCATGTTTAGATTTGGCATTTTCAACGAGCAACGAAGTACTAGGGATCAGCTAGTATACATATATAATATAATATGTTAAATAGAATAAAATGTGTACTGGGTTTAAAGAATACAAAGTGCTTGAGATTTAATATATAATATATTTTTAGTTGGTAAAAATACAACTTTTAATTTATTATTCCCTATTTCTAAATACAAATTTATTTGCAACGAGAAATCACCAATGCACACTATAAAGGAATTGGGTTTTCATAATTTAATTATTTCTGATCGACTTCGATGTAACATTATATAAATATAATTGTTGGTTCAGTGGATGTTTGGCAAACCGTAGTCTTTGAACTGTTCTATAGGTATTTTATAAAATAAATATTTCAATCCATAATACGAAATCATAATAATTACCTATTCAACATTACTATAACATGATTAAAACTTCGTAAAATAAAAATAAAGACATACCTATGCTTATAAAAAGTTTTCCGATACACAAAATCTCAGATTGGACGTCCAAGACTTCTCAGAGGTTTCGGTTCATCATAATACAAAATTGAATTTTTGTTTAACACTTGTATATTTTTATCATGCCTATATTTCTAACACAAATTTTCAAAAATCGATTATATTATGCATTTCAAATTTTAAACCTATAAAACAGAACCAAACGCAAAAACTAAACAGCTTTTTATTACCTATATGATATGGTTTAAAATATGTATTTTTATTTTTATTTCATACAGTATAGCTATGACATATAAAATCTATGTATAAATGACTAATATAATATAAATCTATAAATTAATTTAGAAAAATACAACTCTCAACTATATAGCGGTCTTCAAGAAAAATCGACTGTAACAGATAATCTTAATGCATGAAACGTTGGACGATTTTATTTCGATGTCGACGGTTCAACCAATAATCGTACAAACGAAACGTCATGAAATTTATAAATTCAACGGCACTGATCAATGACGCCCCGAGAAAAAGTCCACAAACTCCTCCGTAGCCGACTAGAAAAAAAATCACAGATCAAACATTTTATCTCGCTTACATTCACACAATACTATACATGTTATACTATATGTATACCCCAACTTTGCCTGGGCAAGAATGAACAAACATGATATAACATTATAATGCGGTGTTATTTCTGTTTATACCTAACATTGTGAACATACGCCATATGTAGGTAATCCACTGGTAACGGATTAAATAAATCACTTGGTACATCCTTGGTATACGTGATTTACCTTACTATCTAAATTTTCCTGATATCTTTAAAAACAGTCTCCGAAATTGTCATCACCTTTAGTCGATTGGTTTCTGAGTCTATAAGTTATAGATATAATCACATTGCATTTTGTTGTATATTTGAGTAACAAAACTATAAACTAAATATTATTTTATTTAAAAAAAAAAACGTCATGTAGCCACTCACGGGGGTCGGCTAGTCTATTACCAGTTTAAATTAATAAATTAATTTAAATTGTATTTTTGTAACTAATGACAACGCTAGCTATATTATAATATAAACAAAAAATTATTTGATTTTCATGGGTCACAATGAATTTTATATGTGAGCTTATATCTATATAAAATTAGAAACCTATGATTTAGAGATTCAATGCACTTAGAAAAAATATAGTTTTAATTTCTATGATTTAATTATTCAATTGATTGATATTTTTACCATTTTTTTATTTTTTATCTCAAGCATCGGGCACTACGGTTCATGGCCATTAGCATTTTGTAGGGGATTACGGTTGGTTTTGAAATGATGAACACGTGTATATGTGGAGGACTCCTCACTAGAACCTCGTGTTGTCATCTATCCAAGATATATGGACGCCAGTCGAGGCTTGACCTCAGAAAACGTTAATGACTGAGGCCAACCACTGAGCAACAACATTCATATTAATGGATATCATAATTTAAGCTTCCTAAAATAATATTAGTTTTAAGGAAAAACTTTTAAATGTTAACGATATATTTTTAATGTCTTATTATTTCTCAATTTAACAACTGTAATAATATAGTATCGAATGAAAGAGATGCTGCTATGCTAACGAATATGTATTTTAAATTCTGAGAGGTATAACCAATGGGATTTTCGATTATTTTCTAATAAAGTGTTAGCTGATAGGTTATATACCTACTACAAAATGGTTTTAATGCAATATCCTCTTGTATAGAGTTTCCATCAAATATCATTTTGAATTTAGCACCAGAGTTTAATTCATTCTCTCCAGTTTCGTTAGAGTATAAAAGTTCGATGTATAAAAAAAGATATGCTTTAAGTTTTAGAAATAAATTCTGTTAGTGTGGCTGTTTATTTGGGAAAATCTATAAAATGTTGGTCAATAAAACCAGATTAATATATTTTTTATAATTATGCCTATGATGATTATTGGTTTTGATGAACATTTCTGTGTCTATTAAGAAAACATTAAAAAAAAAAAATGAATTTGCTTTAGAGTGGTCGAATTTTTACTAAATGTAATATTTATTATTATTTTTTTAATCGTTATAAAATACATGATCGATAAGATGGCTATTTTGAAAATTTAAAAAAATTAACTGCATAGAAAATGTTTCGAAAAATTAATTAAATATTATTCCATTAAATAAGAATATTAAACTTCTATATTTTTAACTGTAAAAAAAACTGCAATTAAATTATTTATTTGCCAGAGAAATTAAGAGTGAAATGGGACTTTTGGGACATACTGTATAATGAAAACCTGTATATAAATAATGTCGCTATTATACGAACATAGGTCATGTTAATTTTATTTCAAGGAAGAAAACCGGTGGAATTTCCATTTTTTTTTCAGGTAGTAAAAAAGTATCGTAGGAATTTACACGAAAAAAGGTTTGAAAAGGTCGTAATTGGTGGAATTTACATGTGTTGGCTCAATTTGTCAGAAACTATTTAGTAAACATCGTTTATAATAACCGGTTGTAGTGATCTACTGAGATTAATGACCTGAAATCTGGCGAACTCCTTTAATGTTATATAATATGCTAATTTGTAATGGCGAGTTTGACGTTCTTTTAATGACTATACAGGATGTAATGTCGTTTACTTTTGGTAATTAGACAAATATTTTATCTGAAATAACCACACAATATTACACTATAGCAATATTATTATTGAACACTTGCTCACATAACTGTAGGAAAATCAGAGTTGAAATTTGTATTAGCTGGTTTTACGTTTTTTGGGTTCTACTCTAACAAGTTGTCAGTTTCCAGTTAAAAAATGTGCACTGTGCGCAAACGAGTCTAACCGATACGAACGTAGCAAATATTATGTGTTAAATTTTGTGAAATAACCATTAATAATGCACACAATTTGACTTATTATCAAGCTTGAACACATGAACAAAATATGTGCATTCCATGGTTTTTGCGGTATATTTTTAATTTTTAGTCAATTATAACGAGTATGTAATATGTTACAATTTAAACATTTTCATAACATTCTTAAAAATATCAAAATACCCATCAGAACGCACAGGTAATGTTTTTACCTATACTTTTGATTATAAGTCAATTCTCTCTATTTTTAAAGCTGTGTTTGCTGATTAGGTGTAACAAATTAACGTTTTTAATTTCGATACGCTTTATGAGTATACCGATATAATATCTTTGGATGTCTGTAAACATTGTTTTCATCTGGGGAAGAGTCTGCGGCGCCGTCGCATCCGTCCGTTTATTTATAGTTATTATTTGAATAAAACAATAATTAATTAGGCATAATATTATATATTATTTTATATTTACCTAGGGCATTCATAAAGTCAAACACTAAATCTGTTTCGTACAAGAAGCACGTAGACCTATGGAAGAAAACATCAACTGTAATTTGGTCGGCCCTTGATCTGAAAACAGCAACAAAACATCGTTTCGGACTCATTAACAGTAAAATTATATCGTTTTTATCATTAGATACAAAATATTTCGGTGCGGCTGGGAGTTATTGTAACTAAAAAAAAGATATTTAATAAACATAATATTGTTGATTTATCATTATGAAATTATTATTGAATTTTATAAGTCACGAAGGTCTACTACGATAATATCTATATAAATCATATTTTTGGAGGTTTTCTCCCTGTACATGTGTCCAGATGTAGCCTTATTAATTACTCGAGAATCGAGACGATCATTTCAACATCATTTCTATTTGAATCTCAGGACATTTTTTTGTTTTTGATTTTTTAATACAACAAAATTACAAACCATCTACTGTACTAATAATAAGTTGTATTATCAAGACTTAATAATAATATTTTGTAATGTACCTTATTGTGTACCGATAAAAGGTGAACATAAAAGCTATTATCATCATAATATAGAATGTTATTACATAGCCGTGTGGGCCATGATATTGTTGCGAATGCATTCTTATATGCATTCTTTTCTACAAAGTATTCTTAGGATCTTTGAGTCAGTACAAAAGTCCAATCATGTGATGCGGGATTCGAGCTATGACCTGCATAATTTTAAAAGTTAAATTTTGCACTTTTTGAAACATTTTTCATTTTAAAGTTATTGATCCAAATTCCCCATATTTGCATACACTGTATAAATGTGTAGGTACCAAAAAAAATATTGTGACTTTTGATTTAGATAAGATAATTTAAAAATTATGTTTTGTTTAAAATTCTGAATTCATATATTTTTTTTTCGTAATAACCTATCAAATAAGAAACACCGTTGAATACGCTCTGCTCTGTAGATGACAGTGATTGTACATCGTCATTGAGTGGGTTACTGTTAGGGCAATATTAAATTTGAATTTAATAATACATCTTTGTATGCAAAATATATTCAAAGAGGAGATGACCTGTCAGCTTGTAATTATATTTGAGGATATTTTTAATTGATTTATACTACTATTTAGTAATTTGTTTTTTTTAGTACCTAGTACGGTAGATTCAATTTAATTTATTTTGTGAACAAATTGCTTATAGCGAATAATAGTAGGTATACTTAGAAGTATAAATATTTTAGAGTATCTGCAAATAATATATTATTTTAAATTATAACTGAAATCTTAACTTTTCGTTTAAGCATCAATTGTATGATAATTTTAACATCAAATCTCTATGAATACATGTATATACATATATTTTGTGATACATTTTGTTTTAAAATGTTTCGAATAATGTGTTTAAATGATGTAATTTCTAATTTGAAAGTTTTATAGATGTGAAAAGTTGAATCACAAATGATAAATTGTGAACTTTTATAAGACCATGATAAATTGTTGCATATTTTATCATAAAATATAAATACTATTCAAATATCGAAAACCGAAATTATTTCTAAAAAATCAGACATTTTCTAATATATTGAGTGTTTAGTGCAAATAAAAAATGCTTACGTTTCATTTAATACAACAATGTTAGACTTGTACTGTTGACTACGACAATCTCCTGGACATTTGCATCTGAGATTTGTTGATAAATTTTTGTCGCGATCTACGATGTTGATAAAACTTGCTGAAAACGAGGTTCAAACAATTAATTTTTATTCAACTATAATATATTATGATATTATGTCCATTCAAACGGTTAGACGAGAAGATCACTAATATTACACGAAACAATTAATATCATCATGTGATAGTCCCTTAACACATTTAATTGAACAATGAAACAAATCGCTATATCTTAGGATGGCCTATTATAAAAGGATGGTTTTTAGATGTTAAAAAAATTTCAAATATTTATATTAACCTTGGAATTTTGTTAGTTGAGTTGTAAACATAATATTTATAGATTTTGGCTTCAAAATGGTGCCTCAGAGTATAATTGCTTTTTGATATTATATTTTGTATGAAGCGAGATAGATTTCATAAAAATGCAAAGTTTGACCTTTCAGATGTTTATTCAAATTATTATTCACGGAGTGATCTATTTATACGAATTCACCCTAATGGTTATTTTTATTGAATTTTTATGCTTTTCAAAAAAAAAAAAATGTCCATAGTTCATTGAAGCACTATTATCACACTCCGTTCGTAAATACATTTTTTAGAAAAATGTTCTGCTTCCGATTATACAATTAAATATCGTTATTTTAAAATATTATCAAAACTAATGCTATAGTAGGGAATAATATTATCCAAACTATTATTCAAACTGTGTTTATAAATATTTTTGAAAAACACAAAATTTGCATAAAGCAATTAATTTAGGCGGATCACTAACTGAAATAAATATATCAACTGACATTTGAAAAAAAATGCAGGATACAGTTATTTTCCTAAAAATTAATTATTTAAGGTCAGTGTAGTATATAATTATAATATAAACTAAAGTCGCTCATAGAGTCGCTCAAAAGGTCACAAATTCGTAATGAATTGTTTATAACAATAATTATGTTACCTATACAAAATCGATGCTACCTTTTAGTTTCATTATTTTCCATGAGTATTGTATTATAAACGTAATTATATAGTATGTACTCGACAAAAATGTAATTTGAGACTTGTCACCGAATTCACGTAATACAACTATAACTATTACGTAAATAACAAAAATTGTATCAATAGAGGACGAAATAAAATACAATTTTTTCATTCTGTACTAACGACATTTTAAGCCTAGGTTAGATCGTAGAATCCGAGGACGACCACTTATTGAGATTTAACAGTTCTCTAAAACCCGAATGACTATAAAGACCTATCCGGAACCCTATATTGACCTTCAACAGCAGGAAATCATGTTTGAGTCAATTATTCTAGCACTATATTTATAAAATGATGTAAATTTTTTTCAACATTTTGAATTTGATACATATTTTTAAAATAGAACACAAGCTAAACGCTTGCGAGAGCATATGTATACTATGTAATCTATTTGAACAAATAAATATTTCCTATTTTATCGATTACATTGGATCCAAGAATTTAAAATGTAGTATGTAAATACTCAACCCACCCAAGGCTAAAAAAAATCATAAATGTTGACCGAGATAATTTAAATTTGTAATCCCTTCTTATTTATTGTAGTGAAAGCGTTCATTATACAGAAATAATAAATAATTAAATACAAAAACCTTAAAATCTATCCTGCCTGGTATAAGGTTATCAAAAAATAATTTTAATAATGATATTATAAAGATTTTAACAAATGTTTGTTTTTTTTTGATTGTTTTTACCGATTATTTTAAAAAGTAATAAGATTTTTCTTTTTTTAACCACCAAAATAAAAACTAAATCCTATTTTTTACCAGAAACCTCCTTCAAACTTTATGATCGGAGCATTTTGTCTGTGTCATCAGACACAAAAAATACTAATTGTAAAAACAATACATTTTTCGCTTCGTTTAAATCTAAAACTATATTTGGAAATATTTTTTGAAACACTCCAACAACAAAGGATATAACCTGTCAGAGGTCGAGAATTTGGTTACAATACGATTGAGAAAATTTTACCTTTTTTGGCGTAATATTGAAAACGCTCAAAACGGAACAATGAAATAACCATCGACACCAAAAAACAGTACTATTAAGAGCAAAATTCTGTGCAAGGTTGCCATATTATGTAAGTACCACTGTGGTGTGTATGTATTTTACATTCAAATTTATTATTAAAATCATAAAAATGCAAGTCAAAACCCATACACAAACTATACAAAATTACACAAAAATTGAAAATATACTTAAAAGAGTATCGTTTATATTTTAAATTTTTAAATCAATGCCGCGTGTATGTATTTTATACATCGTTCATTTTTTATATCGTTATCTTTGTATTTATATTTTATAGATCATTAATATTGATGGATTCAGTAATATACTATCTCAAATAACAATAGGTAATCATTAAACTCAAAGTTTCAATTACTGTATTATATCATATATTTTCGAAACCATACAGAATGTAACAGGAATACCTGACAATAACTTTTGTTCTAATCAATATTGACGTCGCATGGAATTATAAAAACTAAGCGTTTTCAAGGTCAACATAGGTTTGAACAGTAAAAGAGGAAGCGGCGACAATGACCGTTCTCAATCGTTTTTTTATCGGCACTTCGAACAATATTGATAGGTATTACCTTTAGGGAAGAAACTACTGTGCATAAAAGTATATTATGATTATGAATTTATGAAAAAACTAGAAGCAACCGGTTTATAATATTATATAATATTATATAATGCATAAATAATACGTGTTTGACAGTAATAATAATTACACGAATGTTCTGCCAAGCATACAAGTCCTTCTACGTTGCACTCGGGATAGGGAAGATCTGAAATCAACAACAATAATAATATTATTATTATTTTATTATTGTCCAAACCGGCATCGATTGTTCTAAGTATTCGTAAGGCTTAATACCCGAACCAGAAATGTATCGTTACCGTGTCACAATAATGGTACAAGGCATCATTTTTAGTTTTGGTTTTTATTTTTTTTTTTACCTTTTTCGTAGTGAAAATAATAGAAACTCGGCACGCACTTGCAATCGTGAAACATAAACCGTTGATAGCAGTTGAACAAACAGTTTGACCTCAAATAGCCTCGGCCCAAGTAGGTCTTTTCGTCAGGGTACAGACAGTGTCTCTTTTCGGGTTTCACGCGTATGAGACGTGCCGTCGGAATCACCTTATCGCCCCACACTTTTATATAGCCGCTGGTACCTTTGGCCACCATCATTCCCCGATCGATCGGCAAGCCACTCGGGTCTCTAATCATAACCTGTAGATATTGATATAAATAAATAAATCGGAAATTATTGGAAAAATCTAATTGTGATTTGCAATATCGAGTACGCCACAAGGGTTACATGAAATTGTCATTCGTTAAGACTGTTGATATTAATAGTTAGTATTGGCTTGTTAAAAATAATATTTGGGTAGGTACTTAATAAAGCTTGAACTTAGTCACATTTGTATGTCCTTGTTTTTGGGTCGATAAATTAATTTACTGGTTGGAAAGGTATATTGTGATTTCATAAATTTTTTCGGTGCGAACTTGATGATTGATACCATTTTAAATAAGATTTTTTTAATTCATGACCAACAATATGATTTATACTTCAAACCTTGAATTATTATTCTACAATGTCGGACCTATTATCTTTTTTAAAAATGGATTATACAAAATAAAATAAATATTTTTTAGAAATTCATGTAATATATTAAAAATAAACTTATTATTTCCATTAAAAAAACATTTATATATTAATACATACATTTGTGCATGAGAATTTAGTGCATTTTTACTTTTTAGAGCGTTATTGTTCGATCATCATATTTATTAATGTAAATGAATATGTTAAATATTTTTTAAGGTTTAAAATATTAAATTGTTTAGATGCATAAAATAATACCCATTCGAAATGATGGTAAAACAAAATGTATTACGGTTCTGGAAAGCGTGGAGCTGGAGAGAGGGATACACTAAGTAGGATATGAATGATCTCCGAAATTGCTTTTATTTCATTTCAAATAATATTATTCTTTTTATAACAATATAAAACATATGATAATATATATATTTAATATGGAAAAATCGACATAAGCAAAATAATTTGCAAAGGACAATGTAGTCTCAATTTGTTTTATTTTATTAATAGATTCTGATAATAAGATACCAGAAGCCTCCAGATTTTTTATTTCTGAAGGAATGAAACCAAAATTAGATTTTATATAAATTAGATTAGTCTCTGCACTTGATTTAAACATAAGTTCTTATGCTTCTTTTATAGTAGTCGAATCATCATGATTTAATTCAAGCAAAACTTTTTTTATGTAAGAAAAATTCTCACAACAGTAATCTACAGCATTTAGCCAGGTTCTCCATCACGTGATTACGGGTTCGGGTGGCAATGGAATTCCTGGAGCAAGAGTTTTAAACATTTGTGTACGATATAGTGATTTGAAAAATATTTTTTATTACGCAAATTATAAGTTTATTGACATCTTGAAAATTTGATCTTATTTCTTCCGCAACTCTATGAATTGCATGCGCCACACATGTAACATGTTCCATTTTTTAATACAAAGTGCAAATGGCTCTTCCTGTTCTCACCATTTATGGGGCAGCATCAGATACAAAAATGAGGACATTATAGTGTTTTATTCCTTCAGGCCATAATGTAAACAAGGCTTTATCGGATGATTTTGCAATGGTTGAATGATTTGTTTTTTCCAAGTCATCAGAATATAACAAAAATATTTTTCCTGAATTTTCTGCTTCCAGGGTACCAATAACCATATTTACTACATAGCGGCCTTCAACATCTGTCGTTTCATCTTCACTAACCCAAATTTTTTTATCGCCTACATAGTATCTAATATTTCGTATTTTATTTAAATAGAATTTTTCAACATGATTTTACGCAATGTAGACTCGTCTGGGATTTTAAATTTCATATTTTTTTCTAAAAAATTTTTAAAATTTGTGTTATTTATTTTAGCAAGCGGAATATTAGCTGCTAATGTTTCACAAAGCTCTAAATTAAATGACGATTGATCACTATTTTTGTTAAATTAGATAATAGTACTAGATTATTTTGTTTCACTTCATTCAGTTTTCGTTGAATTCCAATTATCTCGACTGATGTGTTGTTGAATTGTAAATTTCTTTTCGGAGGCAACTGTAAACATTACAAACTTTACAAAAAAGTATCATACCATACGTAGCAAAAATATCGGCACCAAACTCTCTCACAAAACTGCGTAAACGACTTCCTATAGTTGACTTAATTTTCGGCATTTTGTACAGTTAAAATCGGTAGAACTACATACGTACGTGTCGAATTCACTACTGAAACTACTATTGTATACAGTTATGGGTACGTTCGATATTTAATCTTATCGGGTAAATCGACAATTATATTACTTTTTCAATATCAATGGACTGGAGTAGGTAATTGCCTATTGGTACTAATTGGGATTACCTTTACAACACATATTAACAAAAATTAATTTAAATACACAAAATGAACGTAATATTTGTAATATTACTTAAAATGACGTTTAAAAATGTAATCAAATGCATTTAACACAAAAAATGCAAAATAAAAATTACATATTTTAAATTGTTATATTATGAAACAAATTTAGGTTTGGGTTAGAATTGTATAACACTTGAAAAATGTAAAAGTCACAAAAATCCTAGCTCTAGTTATAACAGACATTTTTATAAGGCGTAACAACTCGAGTAAATCGATAATATTTTATCGATTGCGTTATTATGAGTGTTAAGGGTAAGTGTGAAGAAAAAAAATTAAAAATGTACACGTAACCCATAGATATCACGACATGACATTTATTTATTATTTACCCTTCGTAAAAATTGATGAAAAGGTTTTTTGGAAATGTACGTACAAAAAGTGTTAGGAGATCGTGAGTGAAGTTTATGAAATGGAAACGTTTGTAAATATGTTATATAACATTATATTTTACAAGCGTAGTTTACCTTAGGAAAAATTTGAGTCTTTCAGAAGTTCAAAAATATACACATAAAGTCATAAGCTGTCATGAAGATCAAGTATAAGTAGATATCATATTGCATTTTTACATTTACTTGCACTAAATGTAATAATCTCTATACAATAGGTACTAGTATCAAATATTGAATATATCTGAGTTGGATATCATACTACAAAATATAAATATTAGATTTTTATTTTTAGACTTTACCTATTAGTCATCATTCATCAATGACTTCGTCGACTATAGTACTTTGATATTCAGGTGACATAGCAAGCTTATATTTGAAAAATAATAATTTAATTTGTAAGTCTATAGCTATTAATTGTTATTAATTTATTATAGTAGTCAAGAAGCATTTTCAATAAAAAAAACTGTGGCGTTGAAGCCCCCTATTTTTTTTAAACAGTCTTGTGACCGCAATATGCATGTTAAGCCACTTTACCACCCCCTCCTTTCCACACACCCTTTTCTTTCCACATACCCCTTCATTCAATAATCACATATTTAATAATGACTTTGAACGGTACACATTACTTACGAATCTTACGAGAGCAAAAATATTGTTTGGTTTTTGAATATTGAAAAGTTAAAAATGACCAATGTGGTATCCAAAAAGAAATCACATCTGGTCATTGAAATTAAAGGAGTATAATATAAGCATAACATTTAGTATATAATATGATATAAATTATATATTATATGCATTTATACTATAATGGGTAGGTAGTACTAGGTACTAATGATATTTATGATAATTCGAGTAGGATCATGAAAAGTCTAGAACGTCAATTTTGTTTAATTATTAATAAAATACTATAAGTAATAATCGAAAACATTTTTGAAAATTATAGATGTTATCCTCAATATTGTCTGTTTATCGCACTCCACTATCATAATATTATAGTAGTAAGTCCCATTTCACAGATACACACATGATTGGTATATGAAAATTTTCAATTTAGTACATTGTTGCAGTTCGAAATCGACTTAAATATCGTCGGATAAAATTAGTATAAATAAAATCTCGAGAATTTTAAAATGTATTTTTAAGCTATTTTAAAAGTTTTGAAAATCAGATAACTGTAAAACTCTTAATCATTGAGTTCATTAGATAAGCTTAGTAGGTAGTTAAGAACAGCTATAATTTTGGTTGTAAAATGTGTAGCTTAATATAAAATTTTATTTACCAAAATAATTATGAAAAATTTTGTTCAAAACGCAATACTGGCGTCCAAAGTAAATTTCTGCTATAACGGCAGGGTTTGTAGTTATAAAGAATAATATAGAACATTATTATTGAGATTTATCGTCTTCACAATGTCGTTAGGATCGTGTAAGCAAATAAAATGTGCATAAAACTGTGCACTAATATACTATTAGTTGTATAATTATCATATCTTTGTAAGCTCTCACCACTATTCCACTCTTGGCATTGATGTAGGATGGAATCTTTTGGGCACGCATGGAAAACCACAAGCCAGACCACGGGCCGCTTCCACCAGTTCTCCTAGGCCTCTTGAAAGTTCCCCGATCAACCCTATCTTCGTCAATCCAGTAGTTACTTAAGTCCTCGTGCATTCCGTAAAATTGCGTTTTTCTAAAACATATGAATACGCATTAATGCTAAATTAACGCTTGATCAACCAGACTAATGATCAAAATATATCTTATTCCCAACTATAGACCAAATTTATTTGCAGTAAAAATAATTATGTCAAAATTGCTATGAATTACCAGTGCATTTACCAGTTGAATGGTAAATTCCTATAGGTAATATATTTATTAAAATGATAAAATTGCATTAAAAAAATAAATATGGACAAATTCCTATAATAATATAACATAAGGTATAAATTTACAAATTAAAAAAATGTATAAAATAGCGATTAATTGTATTTTATGTACCTATTCGAAAATGTAAATATTATATTTACTTCACTAAACCTACGTATTAGTTTTCCTAATTACAATTTTTATTTAGGTATACATTTCAAAGCTTTTGTATTTTAAAATTGTATTTTAATTTAGGAAAGCACTAAATATGTTTAAATAATGAAAAAGTGTGGTTAACGTACAAGTTGCATATTTAAAATAATTCGAAACATGTAGTTATTTATCCAACATATTGATTACCATGACCTCAGAATAAGTAAAGATAGTAAAGTATGTCCTCATTTTTTTCAAGATATTAATTTTTCTTTGATTTACATCACTATAATTGGGCAGTTAGGGTTATATCTTCATTTTTCAACATGTAAGGTTATGCATTTTAAGATTAATCGTTCTTCAATAGTTTTATCTTACCATCTCGGTGAGTCACCTACATTCTACGTGTTATTACATTTATTGGGAATACATTTCATTAAAGGTTTCTTGAATAATAAAGTGGATTCGTCAGTCCTTTTTGCTATTGGTCTGGTCTTAAGCTTCCTCAGGGTACTTATAAGACAACAGTTCCTTTCTCAATTCTACATTCTACCAACAACTAGTATCGTGCCTATGATTATCCCTCCTTTTTTATGTCTGTTAATGTAATTATGCGCCGATTATGTTGTGGGTGTGCTTTCATTGTACACTTTTACTATTTGTTTAATATTTTTTACTATATTATAATCTATAATTTTTTCCTAATGTATTATTAAATAAATTAATATTGCATATGAGTATATGACTATTAACTATGATACATATATTATTATTATAAACTTTAAAGTAATATGCTATTTGATTATTCCGATCTAGTGAGTTTTGTGTATAACTCAACTAAATGTTATTTTAAGAATACCAAACTATAATATTATTGTTTACTAATAATTTAATTTTACCAATATGGATGGCATTCTTTTCAAATCAACAATTTTTACCTAAACGCTATAGTATGTGAAAACTCATACAATACAAACCTACTTATAGTCACTTTTATATAAAAAAAAATTAAATCTAAAAATAAAATGTGGCGTTACCACCTAAATCTGGTCTTTCTAGTTATAATACTTAAAGGTTATGACTCATAACATTGATTGCAAGATATTTGATATAAATGTTAATTGATAATTATTATTGTATAACAAATACATACGATATCATAAACCTATAGTGATGGGTGCATCTGTGCCATAAAAATCTGACTGTATATTGTGAATTTTAATCGGAAATCGTTAAATATTTCACCGACACGCTCTGTCTATAAAATATTATATCGACACCACCACGTCGACAATAATACGTCATATTAATATATGAATTCCACTATACCGTTTACTGTATTCAGATACGTCTGAGTTGAAACTGTAACAGTAACCGTAGCATGTTTTCTGGAGTTCGAAGAGATCGCAACAGTTGTAGAAACTATTACGCCACCAGCATCTGGAGTCGAATATGCTGTCACACGGTCGAACCGCCTACACATCAATACAATACAATCATTGGCGTTGTTTATTCAGATATACAGATTTATAGTGGCGTTTTCAGGGGGAGGTTAGGGACTATGCCCCCCCCCCACTTATTCCATAAATCCCTTTATTTGTGTCCTTGGTACTACCACTACAATTAATTTAAATGTATTACTACTTATAACATCCTCATTGTCAATTTTGGGCTCACCGCTTTACAAATAGTACAAATTTGTTCGCTCGTATACTCTTAGATTTTTTTTTTTAATTATTCAATCTGCGTTATCTAGCTATTATTATTTATTGACATACGACAATACGGCATATTTTATCAATTTTTATATGTTGGAACCATGTAACCAATAATTAAGATTGTTTATGACATTACGGTTGGTATTATAGTTAATCAACGTTTACAATTGTGATTATTTTAGCTCTTTTTGGATTACATTAAAGCAAAAAAAATCTTAAATATATTATGTTTCTAGTTGTAAATGTTTGTAAAAACATTTATTTACTTTTTATGTCGTGAGGGAAGTTTGGATCTCCTGGTGTCTACGGCCCTTACTGTTATTATAAAATATCATATCACTTATTATAAATAAACATCACCTTCAGTAGCATGTCGCTGATGTTGAGTTTGTTGAGCTCGTTGTAATGTTTTTCGAAATTTTTTATTTCGATAAAATCTTGAAACAGTGGTAAACGGATTGTGGCCAAGGTCGCCATTATCTTGAATACGGCTTCATCGTACGAGCCCGGCCGGCCGGAAGAGTTGTCATACCTCGAAACGCAACATTGGGACCGTTATTTAATTGTAAATCTAGTTCCTCGAAATGTTCTATTATATTATTATGCTGTATGCTTACAAGGTTTTTATCACGGGACCGTACACTCTGCTCGGTTCACAAATGGTCACTGACGGAAACGGAGCCTCGGAATACAAATAAGAGGTGGACAATATGATGGTTTTGGTGAAACTGGACTCATAGACTTTCCAGACTTCCAGGACGCAGAATCCGGTGCCGAACAATGCGAAAGTGAACATCACCAGCCAAAATCGTCTGTTCGTACAATATTTATTCAATGCACAAAACGCGACTGTTAAAGTTGTTATGTCTGTAAGGCTAGGGTTTTGAAGAAAATTTTATTTTGACAGAGTGTGATAGAAAACTAATTTAACGCAAGACACTTAGTTTTTCAGAAAACGCTTAAGTTTTTGAAGATATATATTGTACATGGTTTTAAGTCTCGATTTTTGGAAAATTATTATATTTTTTTATATTTGTTTTCATATAATTCTATTTTAGGGTTTTACTCTTTTAAATGTCATATATTATTAATTTAATATTCTGGAGTAGAATTTATAAGAAGTTTTTCAATGTATACAATTCAAATTTCAGTATTAAGTATTTTATTAGTTATAAATGTTTAATGTTTTGATGAGTAAAGTTGTAGTGGACCAACATTTTGCAAGATATCAATGTAAGCCCATGCATATAAACTTTTAATGCTTTTTATATATTTTTATAAAATGTTCAAAAAAATTTCATATTTTTCTGTAATTATATTTTATTATCTTACTATACCATTGCCAGAAGTAATTAAAAATTCCAAAAAAAAAAAAAAAAAATAAGCCAAATCAGTCCAGTCATTTTTAAGTGATGTGATTGCCAATAAACAGCATTTAATTTTTATTTATATATAATAATAAATAAATTAATAACTACAATATTTTAGGTATGTATGGTTGGACAATTTTGTAATCAACTTTATGTGATTTATAGGAAGAGCGAATGATCACTATACAAATGTGTGACTATCATAATCTACATTCTATAGGATAGTAATAAAAAAAAAATCGAACGTTTTTTATCAATAAAAATAATGGTTAATGATATTGAACGCATTATTAATGTTATTATTGTTATTAATTTAAAAGTTAAATTGGAAATATAATACAATTTAGTTTTGACTTTAAAGTTTAAATTTAAATTAATTGATTAATTGATCAAATAATAATATCGGTAAAGTTTACGTTTATTATACTGGGAAAAAGTTAAGACCTGTGGAATTCACACATTTTATACAGGTAAAAATATCGTACCGTTTGAAATCACATACACAAAAGACACAATCGATGTAATTTATAATTGTTAAATTATTGCTTTTAATGTTTTCAACTATAATTTATATTTTGTAAAACGTTGTGGCACTGCTATAAAAAGTTATTTTATTCACTGTTATTATTATCGCTTATGCAGAACAACATTCCTAAACTGAGATACAAAACAATATGATACCTGCAATCTATGATATTTTGATCATTATAAATTTATAATATTACCTATCACTTTTATCATTAATTTCTCCTGAAATTTATAAGCTTTTTTAAATATTATGGATATCTGCATTTTAATAAAAAAAAAAATGTATAAAAATACTACTTTGTATTTGTACTTTTTTTATTGATATTACTTTTTTTTAATGATAACAACAAATTTTGATATAGTAAAAGAAAATCATTCTTTTAAAAAATTAAATTTTTTGAATTTGCATGAGAATCAAACGAAAATAAAAATGAATGGTTTTAAAAACGCATACATTTACTTAGAAAATCAGTATTTATTGATAGAAAAATCTACCTGTGTACTATAATCTTGAATTACAGCAAACCTAATGTTGGTACCTTATTTCTAACAATTTTTCGGAAATCAGTTTTACAGATTTTATAAACACTTAATATTTATTTTGAATGCTTACCGTTCACCGACGTTTTTGGCTCGAATTATGTGTTTTAACGCGTTGACGGAAATATCTAGAAAATACTCTCTACCGAAATCTTTTAGCTTTTTCTTATGTTTTCGGCGCCGATCCATTTCTGTTTCAGAAAATTCCTATTTATCAATAATCTCATTTTAGTAGGCTTTAATTGACGTGTAATTCAATATAATATTATAGCTGCTACCACAAAAAAACAGTGCCCGGAGAGCTTTCAAAGGACAAGTAAATATTTGAAATATTTTTTAATGTATCTATTTATTTTATTTTAAATACGTATATTGAAAAATAAATCGTTTAAATTATTTTTTGGTCGATTATAATGTAATAATACATAATTGTAATGCATTTAAAAAATACCTGAGTTGCAGTATAGTGTTTTTTTATTTCCGCGTGCACTGTTATTGGCGAGTAAATACCTGTTACTGCCGATATGGCATCAAAAAGGTTTTCAAAGTGTACAACTTTATATGGCAGGTCTATCGAAAACTCGTGTACATTTCCGTTTTGTTTCGAGCTCTTGTCCGACGATGACGTGTCTCTTTCACTGCTATTTGTCTGTCAAACTTGAAATACACAAAACTTAAATTGTATTAGATATAATATTATTTCGTAAACGGTTGTCACACATTGTATGATGATTAGGTATACTACAGCTTTGGTATAATGTACGGTGGTATACCACGTGAATATAATACGATAATATTTTATGTAGACAATGGTTGAGTGAAACGTTTTAGAAAATATTTATTTTTTGGGCACAACACACTTTTGCTAAACCGTTCTTCTTTCACATCAAATATGAATAGAGCTTATAAACTTTGAGTAAATTCTATAATTTGTACATTTTAGAAACTATACGATTTTAGAAGGGATTGATATTTCTACAGCTGAGACAATATATAACATAACAATATGTTCAATAAAATATATTTTATTTGCTTACATTGTTTCTATAACGATTTTTTAAATTATTATTTCATCATAAAATAATGATTATGCATAAGTGTGATTTTTAAGTTTTTAAAATCAGGATTTTAATAATTATTCTCAGCTTCCATAAATTTTAGATCCATAAAAAAAATGAAAACCAAAACGAAGGTACTAGACAAGGAAAATATTTTGGAAATAGGATGGTTAGTTCATGACAAAAATAAAATACGATAATTATTTCTATCAATATTTGTATAGGTTTGGAGAATTAGATCAATATTTATCGAATCTAGTTCCGAATGGAATAGTAAAAATCAAAAATGGAAATAGCATGACACAATTTGGTTCGGAAATCAAAAAGAACTATATGCAAGAGATGATGAAACAAATGAAACAAATGATGGTAAATCATAAACATAAATTTGGTTACGGTCACATATATATTTTAACATTAACACAAACATAATAATGTATACATATTTATAATTAAATATACCTACATTATTGTAGAAATTACAAAAAGAATTTGAACTTGAATTGGTGTTAAAAAACATAATGAGTCCATTAACGGCAAATAAATCTGTCCTTCATCATCCGGTTGTTGCCCAAAGGCTAAAAGCAGAAAGATTTGCTAAATTAAATAAGGAAAAGGTAAGACAATAATTATCGTATTGCCAGTTGTTTTTGAAAAATTATAAAAATAATAAATTAATTTTTACTGTACAATAAAAGCCGAAAAAGCACTACTCACGGTCATATATCAAGGAATTTGATAAAGTTCAGTGCAAAAATATTCCGTCAGAAGTTGAAGAAATGGGTATAAAATTCCGTGAACTGAAATTCGGGGAAAGTTGTGTTTTCGATTTTTACAAACACGGGAGAAATTTAAAACGAAAAATCAACGAACATAGCAAAGAAATTGGACTATACCTGCCGCGATCAGACTTACAAGTCAAATTAAATGACTATAACTTAAACACAATGACCAAGATTAATATAAACAATCTTGAAGTAAGTTTAGTCGTTAAATTAATATTATAGAAGTATATTGATCATACAATATTATTGAACGTTTGAACTTGAACAAAATTCGTTTCATTAAGACAAACCTGAGTCTTAGTGAAGATAATTTTATGGTCATCAAATATATACTCATAAATAAAAAAATTTTCTCCCAATATGGCCCATGTTAAATTTGAATAGTTTTGACTTTTGAACACACCTTAAATAATAATTAAATAATAGTAAAAGCGTACATAACATTTAATATTCTAGTGAGTTTGGCATTTGAGTATAAAAGTGGGATTCACTGAAAGAAAATGCGTTTAACCTTTAATATTACATCAAGGTATCCAAATTCTTTTTTTTTTTTTGCTATTTTGATGTATATTGATAAACAATAGGTTTTTACAAAAACTTAGATTTTTTTGTACCGATTAATGAGTCTCCTATGACTTTAGGCACTCACTTCTAATTTTCAAATAAGAATAATTTTTTTATCGATGCATCTTAATTAAATTCGAACGTGTGGTTTTTCAAATACTGAACTTTTGGCACGATGGACATAGAATATAAATAGGCACAAAGATATAAAATATATTTAATGTTAAGTTTATTATTATCTTTAGTCTATAGGTACTTATTAGTTATTATATACTTGGAATATTTTTAAAAATTACAATATTATTTTAATATATTAATATAAATTACTGTAATTTTTAATCATAGACCCCATACCTTTTAAATCTATCTTAATATAACAGACAAAACTTTATTTACATATATTTATTATTAAACAATTACATTATGTAGACGATGTCACTTAAGTATAATTTAGTTAACTAGTAAATGTTAGGGCTTAATTTATATTTTATAGTACCTATTAAATACATAACTATATAAGTATAATCGTCAAGTGTCACTAGTGGGTGGTTTCTTATCACGTATTTCATGTATTATTTTAACCTTTATCAAATATGCTAACTGTGCATAAATGTACAGATTGTATATATTATTGTGTAAAATAAAAATAAATAAATATAAGTATAATAGCAAATAGGTAATTAAATGTTAACGCTGTTAGAAAAGAAAAAAAAATTGTGTGACCAGTCAGATTTCATCATGACCAGCAACGTTTGTTATTAATTCTACCACCGTAAGCGACTTTAATGTAGCAATTCCATATTAGTCAAAATCGAGTATTTGATTTCCATCGACCAATTAATTTTTTTTATCGATTTCCGTAATAAAAATCATATTTTTTTTCTCAAAAGAAACGTATACAGATAGATACGCAAATAACAAAGAAGACTGTAATAAAATTATTTAGGTAAGAAGCAAATTAGTACCATGTCCAAATACTAGAACAATTTGTTTTTTGTTTCCTGAAAAACTACATTTTTGGAGTTATGAGCTCACAGCATAGTAGCTTATGACAGCAGAATTATATTAAATACATTTAGTATATTTATGTATAGTATATAATATATATTATTAATTCATACCGTTTTATCGATAACTTCAGGACCTAAAAATCTTCCACGAAATGGCGAGCAAACTAATAAAAGAACCCTATCACGGCTGTTTTTAGACCTCGAGATCGAAACGAACGCTTGTCCATTCATATACCAAATATAACAAATTCCAAATAATATTTTATCTTATCTAGTCAAGAGTATATCATCTACAGATTGTAATGCAATTTCAAATTCAATATTCAATAAACTTCAATAAAATGTATAAGTACCAGATGTTTTTTTTATTTTGTGCACAAGACAGTTTTAAATAAAATATAATTTATGAAATCAAAGCATATGCTTCCGTTTTGTTTTCATATTATATTATATAGTTGCAGTTAAAAATTATTGTAAAAATGTTGATACCAGTTGCCTCCAAAGCCTGTGCGTCCACTGCAGGAGGATATGGTGGAAGGAGCGATGAACTTGAAGTGGTGATACTATTTCTCTATTCATATTACCATGCAATTTGTATATTTGCATATTTACATACATATACTGTAGGTATTTTAACAGACACATAATGGTTTCAAAACTATCGATTTGAAAATAAAATAATTAATTTCCCCTATACTGAAACAATCTGAAACAATAACAAATTCAATATATTATTATTTGATATTTATTTATGGTTAGGGTTTTCATTTAAAAAACGATATATTATTCGTTACCATCGGATCTGGAAGTTAGTATATATGCGCATTTTGTATATTTTAAAATTATTGATTTTATCGTAATATGATATACAAATACATGGGTCTCGTACTTACCTGAATTTAGGATTAAGTGGTGATTATATAAAAAAAAATTCAAAGTTACGGAATTACCTAAAATATAAATGATAATGAACTTCCATTCTTACCATAAAACGAAGTTTAAAATTGTTTTACAAACGATGTTGTAAGTACTCAATCAAATCACGAACAACTGTACAACTTCACTGATTATTTATTAAAAAAATTTAAATCAACCCGAAGAAAAGTTCGCTCCGAATTTAAGGTCTGAATTTAAATCTTCAACAATGAGAAGTCCATGCGCTTGTGAAACAATTTATTCACACTTACATTTTATAGACATCTTATAAGTCTGTTGAAATTGGAAGGAAAATGTTTTTTACTTGGGAATTATGATTTTTAAAACGGAATCCAACTATAATACTCAATGATTTTTAACATGGAACCTAATTTGTATAACATTTGAATTTGGGATCCAACTTTGCGTCAGATTATGTGTACAGCCAATAAATGTCTGTGAATTAATTTATACATATTTGAGTGTCTTTTTCATGAATTTATCGTGAAAAAGTGGCTTGTTTGATTTTTGCGAAAGCTGAAGAGCCCTTCAATTTAAAAAAAAGAATCCAATCAACCATGCATAATGGTATGTTAAATTTATAATTGTATCAGTTCCATACGTATGTTATATTGTACGAAATTCTTTGCCCTCCTTCACTTACTCCTTCATTTCATAAAATTATGAAATAATATCAGAAAGGTATAATATTATACATTAAGTTGTATTATTCGTAAATAATATACATTTTCAGACTGTTAATTTTCATAGTAATAAAAAAAAAAAAAAAAAAANAAAAAAAAAAAAAAAAAAAATATAACAACCGAAATCGCGTACTGTAAATTCGTGGATTGGTCTATAGCATGCCCTTTTAAGCATCTTTAAATGTATTACTTGTATCATAATAGTATACTAAAATTATAAATTTTTTTATGTATATAATTTGTTCTGGTCCCGATATTTTATGTTGGGGGAAAGTTCAAGTGTGGAAATCGTGCTTAAACCACTTCTGACTACTACATATATCGTAAATAATGTTGTTCACCGTTTTTCGCCAAATACAACTCGATGAATATTGGGCGTACCTATTACTCCCTTCGACACACGCGACGTTCTCTTCACCGTAATTTAATTACGCCGTTATTTTCATTTTGCATGTTTCTAATTTTTCACTCACACGAAAATATATACCACATAACTTCAGTACACGTAACCTACGTGTAAATAAAAACATTGTCTTTAAACTGTTTTATTTTGAAAATGTATAAACGTTTTCACAAAAATATTTCCAAACATGTGTTCTCTTGCCAACGGAACATGACGTATTCACTATTCAATCATACGGTCGTGAATAATAAACAAACAATAGCTTGGCAGATACGCCTGAAAAGTTTTTGTCGCTTCATGTTCCACCATAACGTTAACAGTAAAAGCAGAACCCGTGAGATTTTGTTTTGAAGTGTCTGTAAACACCAAAAGAGGGTCTGCGACACAAACTTTGAAGAACAAAGTATTGGATTACAAGCGACGTTTACTTGATGCGATTCTTGACGCGACGGTTTCATATAAATAAACAATTATGTGAAGTTATTTTTACTGTGATCCAAATAGCAGATAGAAAGGACTAGTGAACTTGAAACGCATAGATGGATGACAAAATATTATTATAGAAAATACTTTTGCAGTGGTTATTAAAATTATAAAACTAAGTAGACATCCCAGTTATACGGGTTTTCAGAACGATTACTCGATACATTATAACTTGAGATACGAATAGTTTGTATGTCTGTATATTATTAACAGTTGTTGCTTAATATTATTATGTTAACAATTTTTACAATTACAAAAATGTTTATGAAAAAAATTTAAATTAATCAAATTATTAGGTACACGACAAACACAATCATCACTGCCTGAATCAGTTAACATGACTTAAGTCTGTATAAGAACACTTTAACCTAATACAGCGGTTATCAGCCTTATTATATCCACGTACCCGCCTACACAGTTCGAAAAACTTCATATTATACCACTTGACCAAACAACTTTTTGCTTTGGTTATTCAAAATGTATGGGTTATTTTACATGTATGGAATTTATTTTATTAGAAACTACAACATTTTGAAAAAATAAGCATTTACTGCATACAAATAAATCAAAGAAGGGAGAACCTAACCTTACCTTAAGAAGTACGTTGGTCTAATACGTCACATTGCCCTTACAAAAAAATGATTACCAGAATAGCCTTCATATATAAAACTAGTTCAATTTAAATTTAATAACAACAATCATATTTGTAATGGTATTATTATTTAACCAATAAACTTTTTTAAAAAATAATTTTGTTTTAGTCATAATTGGACGGACTTGCCACTCCATAGACCATACAGGTAATTTTTAGTTGACAATGTGCAAACAGCATAATGGTTGTTTATTTTTTTAGTGGGTAAGCATACTTTTTCGCGGAAGTAATGCGAAAGCAGTCCCCGCGGCACCGTCGGTTCAAACACGAAAAAAAAAAAGTATACTTACCGTATTTCTTAGCCCCACTCCTTATTAATTTCCCTAATTCTACAGTCTAAAATTCAGATTGTTCATTGTACTAAAATATGGAAATCTAAAAGCTGGATAAATCACTATTTTGACAAATAGTATGTTAAATTTTTTTTTATATATTACAATATATACTATATTCAATATAGAAAATGTCTCGATGATTAAAATTATTTTAATAATATGTTTTTATACAAACCACTATTTGAAGTGATTTTAATTTCCATCATGGAACAAGGGATTTATTAAGTATATGAGTAAATACTAAATAACAATAAAGAATAATCGTGAAAGTAAATTTAGGCATTTATAATTCTAGCTTTTACATTATCAAATAGTATTTATACCGTCGTCAAGTTATAATACTGAGTAATCAGTAATGACCACTTGAAAAATATTTAGCAGAAAATGAAAAAAATTTAGACACAAACGTTGATCAAATCTAAAGGAGTAAAAGTGGTGAAGAATACTATTCTATGGGTATCAAAATTCAAAAGTGATTTATGCACGACTGGCCCTCTTGAACTCTTTAGACTTTCCCGTAATATGAAATGACGGTGCCTGATTAATTATTGGACATATATTATAAGCAATAATAAAATTACCTAAAAATTAAAAAATGTGTATTATGCTTCTGTTCCCGTTACCATCAGGAAGTCATGGCAGTTTAAGAAGAAAACTCTTACTAATAATTTTTTAAAAACAATTTAGGTTTGACGAGGACATCAGGAGTGTCCTCAGTATTTCTACTTTTAGACATAACTAGTCGACGATAATGGCGGTGGTACGCAATTATTAATATTAAAACAATTATAGTAAGTATAATATTCATAATATTATTATATTAATATAAACCATATGATATGATCATCGAGCGGCGTTTTATATAGGCAAATTAGGTACATTCCCGTCGTGAGTCAACGTTTCGTAGGATTGCTTAGTAAGAATATTATATTATTATTAACGCATTTCAATATTAAAATATTAAAAAGTAATGAAAATACAAATATTATATTACACAGACGATCTATATCGCTTCTCGAGCCCTATACACACACTCCAAAATATATAAGACGATCGTCAACCGTTTCTTGGTGTACACTGCAACAGGTTACACATCAAAAGTGTTCAAAAGACTATAGTACAGCGTTATCTTATGCATATCACTTGTAGTGACAAGTTGATTAATGTCTAATACTATAATAAGATCGTTTATTTTATTTTTATCGTCTTTTATTATAAAGCTTTAAAGTTGTGCACACACTATCTTTTTTTATTCATAAGAAGTGTAGTACAAATGTTATTATACTACATAGGAAATATATAACATAATGTTATTAACAAATAATGAAGAAATATTTAAGTTAATATTGTATATGATATAGATTATACATACCTATGTGGAACGAATGAAAATATGAAGTAAATTGTTCATAACTGACCTATATGAATATTGAATTGTCGTGCTTAGCTTGTATCCTCGCTGCAGTAAAAAGAAAGTATCCAAGTGTGTAAAATGATTCTTGAATTGAAACTCGTCCACGGACGTTTTATGAAATAATGATGAATATTTTCACCGTTATAAATTCAATAAAAATTATTAAAATGTATTTTAACGTATACGCTACAGCTAAGTACACATTATGCCCATTATGGTAATGGCAGTAATACAGTTTTATGACATATTTATAGAGCAGGGGACATAATATTTTGGAAGGAAAACATGTTG